TGTCATCAAAACGTAAAAATCATTTCTTTAGCTACCGGTCCTTAACTTTGGTCACATAAATTCGAACGTCTCTTTGCTAAATTTTATACGTGAAAAATGTACAAATGTCTGCGGGTAAAAAATATCTTTAGTGTTGCCCGAGCTACTAAAACCCAGCGGGTCATGCGCGTGTGTAAGTGTGCCATGTGACTGTCGATTGATCTAGGGAGGGGAAGGAAACACGATAACCACCTTAGTTTTCACCAATAAATACAAACCCTTTTTAGAGGAACTTTTTTGAAATATTCTATTACTTGTGTAACTTTTCATGCTGTTTATCATAAGTCTACTTTACGTAACAAGCCTTCAAAATGATGAATTAACGTTTTTAGTTTTCTAAATCCTGTTCGAATTTTTTATGACACTTGATTCAACAGGTCTGTGTCAAGTGGTTTCGTAAAACACTTCAACCTCATCCGGTTGAAATTTGTAACTTCGTGCCAGGAATGATCGGGTGAAGGAGCTGCCATAACTGTGGCCAGATGGTGGACTGTAGGTGTATCCAAGGTTTGTGTAGGAACGTGTATTGGATGAGGCATAGTTCAAAATGTAAAGATCGTGTCCTCCACCAAATGTGGGTCCATAGCTAGAACAACTGTAGATGGAGTAACGACGAGAACTATACTTTCCTGTTCGAGACAGTTTCACTGGTCCCCAGCCTGGCTTGTTAACCAATGAAACCAATGAGAACAAAAAGGCGCTCGAAGAGTACTGGTGCACACAACTAGAAGCTGAATGATAAGTAAATAATTCAAAATGTTATTCAATTGTCGTTTCCTTTTAAGGGAGCAAACACTTATAATCTTCGATTAGGAAACTTTCATCACGTCACTGTGTTTTCCAGAAAGGTCCGAACTTAGATTGGTGCAGGTGCAGCGGCATTTCTAATGACTTTATCTAGGCTGTTCCAATCTTTCGGTGAGTGATAACACCCTCTCTGTTTACCTCAATTTTTGGTTGCAAGGGGTAGTCTAAGTATAATCCTATTTCTTGTGTTATAATTATTAACGTCCTTGTTGGCTAGTGGCTCCAATGAGTGATCCATGAGGCCATTAATACACTTGTAACCATACTGATATATAGCGATGATAAATCAACGTTGTTCAAGGTTGAGCCACTTTAAAGTTACGAGGGCATAAGTAGCTGACGAATATAGTGGTCTGTTCAGGTACGAGCCGTTGATTAACTTTAGAAATTACATACTCTACATGATCTGACTACATAAAGTCTGAGGACAACATAACTCCTCAATACTTAGACCTATTTACGCTGTCAAACTCACAATCAAAAGTAGATAGAGACGATGAGGAAATATGAAATAAAATTCTATTGCTTCCAATCAACCGGGATATGGTCTTAGAAAGGTTCAAGGTAAGTTTGTTCGCTTTTAGCCACAATGCTACGTTGTAGAAGTCTGCATTCAATTTTCTCTCCGGCAGCTCGCGAGGTTTTTTTTGCGAAGCAGTAAAAGAACGGTTTCGTCAGCATATAATGATACCTTGGGGTGTTTAATAGCAGCAGGTAGCTCGTTAATATACACAAGGAACAATAACTGTGCCAAGATGCTCCCTTGTGGAGCCCCGATAGTAACGGGAAGGGCGTCGGATAGTTTATTTTCACAAGAGGTTTGCTGATTCCGATTACTTAGATACTAAGAAAACCACTGCAGAGACCGGGGAGACGATTCGGACATCAAGATCCCATGATCGACTGTATCGAACGCCTTTGTAAGATCCAGAAATACAGCAACACAAATATTCCCTTTTTCCAAGTTTAACAAGACTTTATCGGCAAAGCCAGAGAATGCAGTGGCTGTTAAACGCTTGCAACGAAAATCAAATTGCTTGGTTGAAAGTAAATTATTTGAATCAAGGTATTTGTACAGCTGAGAGGATTACACTCTCTAAAATCTTGCTGAAAGAGCGTAAAATTGAAATAGGGCGATAATTTGTTGGGTTTGTTCCTGATATGAATAAAGCNCACGACACTACAAACTGCCGATGACGCCACGAGGGTATTTCGCCTCGAGTTTCCTTCGCCAGTCAAAAACCTTTAAGTTTATACCCGACTTTTCGAACCTTCAATGAAAAAATTCAAGCCAATTTGATTTTTCTTCAGGAGAAACAAACGATTAAGACTTCATCGGGAGACGTTGAACTTCTTTGCGTCGTGTAAATAAAAATTATTGACCGGAATTATTTTAATAAGAGTACTTTGAAATGTCATCAATACGTAAAAATAATTTCTTTAGCTACCGGTCCTTAGCTTTGGTCACATAAATTCGAAGGTCTCTTTGCTAAATTTTATACGTGAAAAATGTGCAAATGTCTGCAGGTGAAAAAAATATCTGTAGTGTTGCCCGAGCTACAAAAATCCAGCGGGTCATGCGCGTGTGTAAGTGTGCCATGTGACTGTCGATTGATCTAGGGAGGGGAAGGAAACACGATATCCACCTTAGTTTTCACCAATAAATACAAACCCTTTTTATAGGAACTTTTTTGAAATATTTTATTACTTGTGTAACTTTTCACGCTGTTTATCATAAGTCTACTTTACGTAACAAGCCTTCAAAATGATGAATTAACGTTTTTAGTTTTCTAAATCCTGTTCGAATTTTTTATGACACTTTATTCAACGGGACTGTGTCAAGTGGTTTCGTAAAATACTTCAACTTCATCAGGTTGAAAATGGTAATAACTTCCTGCCAGGAATGATCGGGTGAAGGAGCCGCTATAAATGTGACCAGATGGTGGACTGTAGGTGTATCCAGGGTCTGAGAGAGAATTTGTGTTGGATGAGGCGTAGTCGGAAATGTAAATATCGTGTGCTCTACCAAATGTGGGTCCAACGCTAGAACAACTGTATATGGAATGTTTCTTCCGATAACTATACTTCCCTTGTTGGGTCAGTTTCACTGGTCCCCAGCCTGGTTTGTTAACCAATGAGAACAAAAAGGCGCTCGAAGAGTACTGGTACTCCCAACTAGAAGCTGAATGATAAGTAAATAATTCAAAATGTTATTCAACTGCCGTTTCCTTTTAAGGGAGGAAACACTTGTAATCTACGATTAGGAAACTTTCATCACGTCACTGTTGTTTACAGAAAGGTCCGAACTTAGATTGGTGCAGGTGCAGCGGCATTTCTAATGACTTTATCTAGGTTGTTCCAATCTTTCGGTGAGTGATAACACACTCTCTGTTTACCCCAATTTTTGGTTTCAAGGGGTAGTCTAAGTATGATCCTATTTCTTGTGTGATAATTATGAACGTCCCTGTTGGCTAGTGGCTCCAATGAGTGATCCGTGAGGCCATTAATACACTTATAATCATACTGATATAGCGATGATAAAATCTACGTTGCTCAAGGGTGAGCCACTTTAAAGTTACGAGGGCCGCATAAGTAGCTGACGAATAAAGTGGTCTGTTCAGGAACGAGCCGTTTATCAACTTTATAAATTACATTCTCTACATGATCTGACTACATGAACTCTGAGAACAACATAACTCCTCAATACTTAGACCTATCTACGCTGTCAAACTCACAATCAAAAGTAGATAGAGACGATGAGGAAATATGAAATAAATTTCTGTTGCTTCAAATCAACCGGGATTTGGTCCTAGAAAGGTTCAAGGCAAGTTTGTTCACTTTTAGCCACAATGTTACGTTGTAGAAGTCCGCATTCAACTTGCTCTCCAGCTCGCGCGTTTTTTTTGCGAAGCAATAAAAGAACGGTTTCGTCAGCGTACAATGACACCTCGGAGTGTTCAGTAGCAGTAGGTAGCTCGTTGATATACACAAGGAACAATAACGGTCCCAAGATGCTTCCTTGTGGAACTCCGAAAGTAACGGGATGGGCTTCGAATAGTTTATTTTCACAAGAGTTTTGCTGATTCCGATTACTTAGATACTAAGAAAACCACTGCAGAGACCGGGGGGGAAATCTGGACATCAAGATCCCATGATTGACTGTATCGAACGCCTTTGTAAGATCCAGAAACACAGCAACACAAAAGTTCCCTTTTCCAAGTTTAACAAGACCTCATCGGCAAAGCCAGAGAATGCAGTGGCTGTTAAACGCTTACAACGAAAACCAAATTGCTTGTTTGAAAGTAAATTATTTGAATCAAGGTATTCGTACAGCTGAGAGGGGATTACCCTTTCTAAGATCTTGCTGAGAGTGGGTAGAATTGAAATAGGCGATAATTTGTTGGGTTTGTTCCTGATTTGAATAAAGCTGTCACTTTAAAGCAATTCCATATCCCCGGAAACTTCCCTGTGCGCATGGACAGATTAATTAAGTTTGTGATGAAATAAGTAACTGATAAGGCCCCACACTTCAAAAGCCTTACGCTAAAAATTGTCCAATCCAATCGCTTTATTTGCTTTGAGACTGAGTAACTGCTTATGGACAACCGCTTTGCTAATTTGTTGTCATTGGAACAATCCAGAGTGACCATCAATTGGCAATGGAGCACGAGCTACAAATGATATCTTTTTTTAGCTAAAATCCGTCATATCGAAGGAGATCACGGTAGAAGCAATTGACTCTGGATTTGTATGACGATTTCTATCAGCGATAATGCATTGTGGAATCGAAGACTTGCTTTTACGAGATGACGCTTCGTTTAAACCAGTAATCGCTTCACATCTGTATTTCAAATTTTCTGAGACGCTAATAGGATTTAGCAACTTTTATCCTATCAGCGTGTCCAAAGGATACCATGATAGGCTATGAGTCACCATTAATTTTCCGTATAATTCGAAAAATCTTTTACCTGATTAACCTCTTACCCGATAAACGCCGTTAATTAAATTTTTAGCGCTTATATTTAGCGCCTGCATTCATGGGCGGCGCTTGTTCGAGGGCGGTGTGCGTCTATTTTCAAATCATATTTCTTCACTCATTGACACAATCGCGGTAAAACGTTCACAAATATCATGTAATATGGGAATCTTTCCTCGACCGTTTGCCTGAAAATATCGAGAATCAGCCTTGAAGTGCAATTATCAATAGCGATTTGTAATTCCAAGGGCCGCGTTTAGAAATCGACCCCTGAAGTGCAAGAATAAAACCGAGCTCTAGCCAGCTAAACTATTAAGTTTCGTTGAAAGACGTCCTTTGGACATTAATTGCAAAGGTAACAAAACGCCTCGAACGCTATTAAGAAGGCATAGAGCGAGACTATAAAAGTGTTTTTTTTTTATTTTTGCATAAGAGTACCTCGCACATTTATCTTCAAAGGAAAGAATGATGTTATCAACCTGATTTGGCCCGAAGCGAAGGTGCCTTAAAGTTGTTAGGCCCACGATGGCAAATTTCAAAAGAAGGGCGAGTGTTCATTGCCACCAAGAACCTTCTTTATGGGCCTTAGGACAATTCACCTTCCTAGGTTGAAAATTGGTGGAGGTCTCATCTGCCCGTATAAACCCTGTTTGAATTTATCCTTCGCTTCCTTTGCGCATTGCTCACGTTGGGCTCTAGTAACTGATGAATCAAATAGTTCATCTGGCGGCAATTTTTTTTTCACAATTATGCAGAAATAGATGCTCGTTGAAAACGTAAACTTAAAAGCCACTCGAAGATAACGGCATTTTCAGTTCTTATTGCTAACAGACAATAGTTATGAGACACAGTTCAGTGTTCCTGATAAAATATGCCGTTTACCCCATTATATTTTTCGTTTTGTTTGATTGTTTGTCTGTTAGTTAGTTAGTTTGTTTGTTTTATAAGTTAGAAACCAGATGTACCCTCAAATTTTAATTTTTGGAAGGAGAAAAGGCGAGCATTCATGCACTTACTCCATGATAAGCTGGTGTATCCACCAAAGATGTATTTTCCTACACGGATAATGGTCACTGTCGGCCCTTTGCTGTCACAGAACGAGTGGAAGGTAGAGGCAGCCCAACCATCCACTGATGCTCTCCAGCAGCGCTTCCAGTAAGAGGACTGGCTTTGCACAACAGGGCTTAACCAAATGCTCAAGGTTTTATGGTAATGGTCATCCTTTGCTAATATTGCCGAATAACCTAGGCCTTAAAACAGAAAATAAGTATTTTTTCACCTTTGACACCCAACTTTTTTCATTGCCATAACATGTTTACATGTTAATGTGTAAAGAAGTTGTCAAACATTGCCACAACAACAGCAAACAACTAAAAAATAGAGAAGTCGCTGGTGACACAGAGCATAAACTATTGAGGTTCCTGAGACAGGAAACTTGTCCACTACTGCGAAGCGTTATGTTAATGATCAATACCATGCAATACAGTTATCACAAACGGAATACATTTTTCACGTATGCAAATATAAAATGAAAAACAATCTTCCAAAATTGTTTTTTGAGATAGATAAAAGGCTCAAAAGAGATTTTGAGATCATTTCTTTTCCTTTCAAAGTTTGAAAAGAAAGCCAGAGTTCGGTTAAAATCTCGAGGCACGAACACAAAACTTTCACTTCCCTGCTTTACCGACAGTTTCTTGTTAAAGTTAACATATTCCCGTTCCTAAATTTTTTTGAGCATAAAGGACCATAATAATGTATTTCATATTGTTTTTCAACACATCTCACCAGCATAGCTGTTGCAATCAAATCCATCTCCAACGTATCCAGGTTTACACTTGCACATGTAGGAGCCACGTTCGTTTGTACACATTGCCAGCTTGTGACAGTAATTCAGATCATTTTGGCATTCATTTAAGTCTAATAGTGGAATATAATGGAGCAGTAAACACTCTTTTAATAGTGAAAAAACAGAAAAGGTTATTTTAAGCTTTTCTAACTTAATTACCCATATTACTGACGGAGCGTATTCCGTACCCTGAGCTGATTAGGAGTATCGCTAGTATCCGTGCCTCCCATTCCATCTAAGAAAATTTCGAATTTACTCTGACAGGATGGTGGTACCAAGGTTCAAATTTGAGCTTACAGTAGAATCACTATGTTGTGTTACTTAGCATGGTTATGCCAGATACCTAGCTCTCACCATGCCTCTCCACATCAAAAGGTAAGAATGGTTATCAATGAACTGTCCTGAAAGGAAACGTGGCAAACTGCAACCACTTAGATGTGGTCGACTGACATTTTGTAGAGAAGGAGAAGCATATATATTCGAAGTTACATCACGTTTTTAAAACCAAGATAAGCCTAGACAAAACTGGATCATTACACTAGAAGCACAAACTAGCCGTTGTCAAACATCAACTGTATTTGCTCATGAAAATGATATCTTAAAAGCTTCATTCAATATTTTTTACTTACCTCTCTTACAAGTAAACTGATGGCAATCACTGCACTGCACGTCGTTCCATTCATAGCTGTGTTTCACACCAAGTGCGTGCACACAATCTTCTTCTTTGAAGTTATTTGGCTGATTCTTGGCCCAGGCTGTAAAGTTTCCGTGACCACGATCCGCCCAAGTAAATTCACCCTCTGTTGATCTGTCATTGAAACCCAGCCAGGATTTATCTCCATTATGGCGATGTTGAATGTAAACATTTTCCTCATTGTTGTTGACATCAACAAGGACTGAGCTTTCTTGTCTACATTTTGCTACTGCTGTGGTCCAATCTCTACAGGTATCACTTGTGAAGTAACAGAAACCATTGAAGTAGCTCCATCCGGGATTGCAGACGTCTGGAAATAAATGTGTTATTTAATCTTGAAAAGAATAATAGAAATTCATTCATACGTGACAAGGTTTTTTAAATTAGTTGGATCTTCTCTGTGTAAATATTAGCTGCATACAGACCTGTTAGGACCGCATAATTCACTGACACAGGATCATATCTGGTCTCGTACAGTTCCTTGACGCAGACTCTGAATCCAGACTCATTCATGTTCTGCAAATAATTCAAAGTTCTTTTAAAACTTAACTGAATTCTACATTTCTATCTCAGTCGAGATAATTGAGAGATTTGGAACCGCGTTTACGAGAAACGGCAAACGTCAGCTTGCCCTTTCACGTTTCATGTGAATAGCGCGAACCTTGCTGCTTTAGCTTCGCGTGAGTGCACTTCATGGTGGATTTGAAGGCGCCCTTGTGTGACTCAAGTGAGCTTGGTGTAATAATAGACGATAAACTCCATTGGTACAGTCGCATCGAAAAACTAACGAAAAAGATCGCCTCTGGTATCGGGGCCCTAAAGCGAATTAGGCACCTGATCCCAACATCAACCTTACATCTCATTTACCAAGCTTTAGTAAACCTCACTTTGATTACTGTGACATTGTTTGGGGTAGCTGTGGGAAAACGCTACGAGAAAAACTGCAGAAATTGCAGGATAAAGCAGCCCGTGTGTTTACATTCTCTAACGTATTCTCTTACGTATTTAAACGTAAGATCAATGACATTCTTAAGTCTAACGCACAGCATTCACGGAAAACAGCTATAGTGTTAGAGTACGTAGTTTGAATTTTAAATATTTTAGCGTATGTGATATGTATTTTTATGGGCTGATGAATTCATCTTGTTTAAATAAAGATTACATTACATTACATTACTTAAAAAGGAATAGTTTTGGCGCTCTTTTTACAGCGCCGATTAACTTCTACTATGAAATTAGTATTGTAATTATTCCTACTCAATACTTAGTTCTGTAAATTAGTATTGTAACTATTACTTTGTTTTGTTGGTTTCACTATCTGAAATTAGTATCGTAATTATTCTTATTTAATACTTAGTTCTGAAATTAGTATTGTAACTATTCCTACTTAATTCTTAGTTCTGTAAGCCTCTTATAATGTATTGTATGATAATAATTCATTCTACTTAGTATTGTAATTGTAATTCCACTTAGCATAATTTGTGTGTTAATACTTAATTTAATGCGTCAACCCACTGCCCGCCTCGAATGGCTGTAGCTAACTGCGAGCAGTGGTACATCATATTTTGTATTTTGTCAATTTTTCTCAATAAACTGAACTGAACTGAACTGACACTGAACTGAGAAAACTGAGTGGAAGAAAGTACGCGGAGGGTCGTGGGTTCAAATCCCATCTGGGACTTGGATTTTTTTCCGATTATACATTAAATTGTTATTTGTTTCATCTTCATATGCTAACGTACACTGCAAAAGCGAAACAGATTACATTCGTATAGAAACGGCAAAGCGCAACTGGCAAACGCGAAAGAATGGTGGGAAAAACAAGGTCACTTGGTCACTCTTGCCGTTCACGTTTCACGCAAACGTAGTGCTAAATCTCTCTTTTGTCCTCTACTACATCCTGTAAGAGGAATTAAAAACAGAAATAACGGTAAAGTTGATGGCTATTTTTCTGAGGATTTTTGATAATCAAGCAATTATTTTTAAGCCGATATAACATTTTTTAAAGTCTACCAAGTAAAAAAGCTCTTACCTCAATCCACGCAGAAATACCGTTATGAACTGGTGCCATGTTTCCACTCGCTGTTGTGCTGTGATTAGCTGATATTTGGACGGATGGTATCGCATTGTAACTTCGTGTAAAGTGTACAAACTGTTAGTAAGATGAAAAATAGATAGTGAAGGAAATTCTTGAATAACTGTTTTCCTGAGCATCACCGTTAATCACTCTAATTTTCTATAATCGCAGTGCTCGACTCAGACTTACACTGGACACTTACCTCGCAGTAAGCATTGTTGTCTTCATCTGTGGGTGGATCCGTATTTGGAAAGTTTACAGAACCATGCTCAGTGAAAAGTGGTTTATGTAACTTAGCAAACGCAAACCAGGTCTGTAAAGAACCAGTGCAAAAAACAAGACTTACTTCTAGCGAGTAACGTAACGTATTTTTCAATGCGGAGTTACAAATGATTTCACACAGTAAAATACCTTAAAATTCAATGAAAAAATTTTAATGGAATGAAACTGAGAGAATTCTAATCAAGCCTGGGCACAAATGCAGAGGTCAAAGTATAATACTGAATTAAGCCGATACCCTGGTGAGACTGAAGAAAATATCCTCAATCTCAGAGCTTCATTGATTTTAAAACAAAGAGAAAGCATATCACATACCACATAAATGTCTTGATGCTTGCCATCAAAGTTTTGTAGTTCTCGCAAACAGGCCTTGAACGAGTCCTTTGTCACATCTTCTGTCCAGATCAACGCAGCGTCGTGTTCCTTTCCACTTCTTTGGTGATCAGATGTCACAAGAACAACCGGTGAATCCTTAAACTTGTCCTAAACACATGAAAATAAACAATTTCATCACAAATCTGACTAAATTTTGGCAGATTTTTTAAATTGAGTTTGGTCTGCATTGATCTTTACAAAGTCATCTGAATCATTATAAATTTGCAGTGGGGTCAAATATTAAAATGATATCAAATTTTAGTGAATTGCAGTCTGTGTTAACCGTTTTTACCAAACGTCATTTTATTATCATCATTATCGTTATAGTTATAATAATAATGATAAAGATTAATGTTATTATTATTGTCATTATTATTATCATTATTATGGGCTCCAGGTCCTATCTTGAGCACTGCGTCAACGATAAAGTCGAGGAATGGGTAGCGCACGTGACAAAATTGGCTGAGTTTGCTCTGTCGCAGCCCCAGCTGGCTTACTACCCAGTGTTTGCTTTTGGATTAAAACACCGCTGGACGTACTTTATGAGAATTCTGCCTGACATAGAGGATCCATTCGCACCTCTGGAGCGTGCAATAGCTGATGCCCTAATACCATCTATTACACGTCACAAATGTACACAAGCTGAACGCGAGCTTCTGGCGCTGCCAGCGAGAATGGGTGGCATGGGCCTAATAAATCCGAGTCAAGTAGCAGCCGTAGAATATGTAGCATCGGCTAATATCTGTGGTCCATTAGACCTGCATGTTTGAAAATAGAATTACAGGCGCATGAGCCACCAGACGAAAATGAAATACACGTTGTGCAATGGGAGATGCGCCAAATAAAAAATCAGTATCTGAGGTAAAAGCTTAATGAGGTGAAGCGCTCGATTTCTGAAAAAACCTTGAGAGCTATGGATCTTGCCACTCAGAAGGGTGCTTCTAGTTGGCTTACTGTTTTGCCAATTAAAGATATGAATTTTGATTTTAAACAAGACTAAGTTTCGAGACGCTGTGAAACTCAGGCAACGACTGAGGAGTTCCAGATACGCCCTCTCTTTGTGTTGCGGGGACATCTTCATTGTGCTACGATATGCAAACGGGGCGGATTTATCGTACAGTGCCATGATGAATTGAGAGATTTGGAGGCGGAACTGCTTCGCATGGTATGCAATGGTGTTGAAATGATGTTGAAATCGAACCAGATTATGTATGAGAAACGATTACTAATCTCAGCGCATCATGCTTATCATCATCTTTTACCATGTCCTATGAACCGTCGCTTTGAAAAGTATGTAAGTAGTTGCGACCTCAGGAGGAAAATGACATTTAAGTTACCAAGACCTAAGACCGATTTGGTCAAGAAATCATGCTCATACAAGTCAATTACTCGGTGGAACACTCTTGAAAATCAAATGAGATCAATTCAAGACGTTGACGCTTTTGAAAAGTCACTCAAGCGTATTTTTAAGCCACGTATATTATAATGATGTACTATGTAGAATTTTTGTTGTTGTAAATATTTAGAAATCTTAATGAATAAAGGCTGATAGTTTCTAAAGAAACTGTTTGGGGTTGCGTCGGTGGGGGTAACGAAATAATTTGAATATATCAACAAAGTTGAAATGGTAAATTGGCCACCGTTACGATTATAAAAGCTGACGTTTCGAGCGTTAGCCCTTCGTCGGAGCGAATGGAGAAATCTTACATTAGTCTTCTTATAACTAGTTAGGAATTTAGTTTTTTGAATTTTGTTAGGAATTTAGTTTTATTGTTTGTACACGACCACATCAGCTTTTGCTGAATTTTTCTACCGTGTTTAAATAAATGCTGTTGTTGTTGTTGTTGTTGTTGTTGTTGTTAAAATTACAGGAGAAGAGTTGAATAGGGGAGCTAACACCGACCCTCATGCACGACTGGATATAGCTGCTAGGGGATTCTGGGAGAGGCAGAGGTCGGATTTTCTTGATGTGAGAGTGTGCCACCCAAATGCAGACACCTCTAGAGATATGGATCCAGACCAGATATTCAGGGAGCATGACTAAGGGTGATCTGCACTTGAACTTCTTTGTTCGGATAGAAGCGGTATGGTGGGAATACCACTTTTTTGCAGCTTGAGTCTGACCATTTGGGAACTCGAAAGAGCTTAACCCGACCATGAATGATTGGAAAGCCTGTAAAGATTGGAAACGCTCAAGTTGTAAACCAGTAGTAACCAATTTTTTCCTGTTATATCTCATGCAAGTTTCCAAAGGTTTCAATGTATTTGAAAATCCTAATTTTCGTGTCTGTCTTGTAAATGAAAGAGGAAGTTCCTTATCATAGTAATAAGGCCTTACCCTCACAGCTGCCCGGATGATACAAGGTATTATTGTCCAGTCCCTTGCAGAAGCTCAATTTGTACAGGCATTCATTGTCATATGTCGTTCCATTTTCCGTGCAGACAGGGTCTTGATATGACGGGCAGTTGTCGTCACACACACAGCGAGCTTCATGGGCACTGTAGGTTTTGCAGACTCCGAATGATGGGCAAAACACATTTAGACAGGGATTGAGGTCTGTGAATGTGAAGCAAAATGATATTTATCTCAAAATTAAAGGAAGATACCAAAGTAAGGATATAAAATGATTGCACTGATACATTCAAGTTGAACCCAAACCTCCAATAACGACGTAGCTAACAGACAGAGGGTCGTGTTTGCTTCCTGTTCCACTCAAGTCTTTGACACAAATCCTCATGGATGTGAGGCTAACTTCCTACACAGAGACCAGAGAGCACAAGTTGAAATTAAACAACAGCAGAATGACAATCATAAAGTCAGAGTGATCATTTACCTCAACCCAGGCTGATATGATGTTATTCTTGGGTGAGACAAGGCTTTTCATGCTGACTTGAGGGTTGTACAAATGATGCACAGACACAAGGACAACAGGTGAAGTATAAAATGTTGTGTTGAACTGCACCTCCTGCAAAAATTAAAGAGACAACAAATTTATAGTAGAGAAAATCTGTATGGTACTACGTAGCTCTGTTTTGAAAAGGAACCTTTTTTTACCTTGAAATAGCTCCTCAAACTTCACAGTAAACGGGACTAGATTATACTCACTTGACAAAAACCATAATTATGTTCAGCCGTTGGCGGGTTACTGTTTGGAAAATCTGCTTCTCCTGACAGCGTAAAATTAAATTCAGAGCCATTGCCAACAAATGCAAACCAGTCCTGGAATAAATGAATGCAAAGCATGAGTTGCCGTCAAACAAAGTATAAGGTTATCAGACTAGAAAAAACAAAAACAAAAAAAGAAAACAGTTAAGTTGGCTTACACGCTCACCCATACAAACTATACTAGATGTATCTCTTACCACAATGGTGTCACGATGTTTTCCATCGAAGGGCAGGAACTCCCGGATGCACACCTCGAAACTTCTGGAATTTACATTTTCCAACCAAACATACATAGCATCATTTGGCTTTGTGTCACGTGTGTACCTAGCTGACACAAACACGGATGGTCCTCCAAGAAAACTCTGCAAGGTTTTTGGATCATATATGAATTTATGTCTATGGAGTAAATTCACCTTAGATCCAATAAAAACCATTCAGCTAGACAACATATCATGGCCACAAGTTAAAGGTTTATATGTTGGATATCTTGTCTTTCATTGGCTGAGAGCGAAAAGCTCCAAATCTTTCCTAAATCTTCCTTTCTTGACCTTGCAAGGTCTGGACTTTACAATCCACCACCGAAATTTCTGAGCATTGAGTGGCCTGTTTAAATGAGCATGGAAATGTGTTCCACATGAAGTAGGCGGGATTCACTTTGCAAGTTGGTCTAAAGTCTTTCTTATTAGGGTAGAACATGCTCAGAAGGGTTTTACCTCAGTTTTGTTTTTTTATTTCCTTATTTCTTCTTACCTGTGAGAAGGTAACTTTGTCACACTTAGTTTCGGTTGTCCATATTCCACTAAAAGAAACACTACCACGCGTCATTTGTGAATGATCTTGGAAAGCCAACCAGTTGATGATTCCTGTACCATTTGATCCAATGCCAGACTCACGAGCACACACTTCAAAGTCACGTGTAGTAACCGACTTAACCCACATAGCTGACGGTGAATGGACGCGTGAGAACGCCTCACCATGGCTGACCGTCACGTGAACGTTAACCTGCAATTTTGAAGCCAGGGCGCGCAAGGCATTATCAGTTACTTGATGATAATGAGATAGACCTGTACACGCATTTCAAGCGAAATAACTCAACATTCTCAAATAGTCCACGTATCGTGCTGTTCTCTGGAGCGTACGTGCCAGAGGTGTTTCGCCTTTTCAGATTCCAAAGCTTCAAAGTTAATTGTGTCTAATTTGTCTTTCGATGCCCGTTCTTAATCTCTGGAATTTTAATTTACGGTGCCAAATAGAGTGTTAATTACGACGGAATATCTTACGTCAAAACACAAACTGAAGTTATTAGGATACTATGAATGCTATCCAGGGAAATGTGGTCACAGTTGGCGCTGTGGCA